ATGTGGGACGCGGCCTCAGCATGGCCAGAGGAGCGGTGCGTCGGTGCGCACCCGGGATCCGAACCCGGGCCACCGGCAGCACAGTGCACGCACTTAACCGCCAAGCCACGGGGCCGGCCCTCCCTTTGACCTATTAATTTCACTTCTGAGAATATATCTTAATGAAATAATGAAGTATATATGAATATCTAGCCATAAAGATTATTAAATGAAGTGCTATTTAAGGTAGCAAAGTATTGGACACCATTTAAGTGACCAACAAGAACAAAATAAAGTTATGGCACTTTATTTTAATCCAATATAATAGTATTTGGTCATTAAAAATATTTTCCATAAGTTTGTGTGTTGACGTGGAAAGATGCTGAAGATGTATTAAAGGGAAAAAGAAAAGCAAATTAAAAAATAATTGTTACAATATTGTGTAAAAATATGTACATATTTTAGAGAAGAGGAGAGTCTGAGGTAGGAAAAATGAAGTATACGCAGATGGGCTTTTAGCGGTTGTTTGTGGGTGAGTAGATTGTAGCTGCTTTTAAATATTTTTCTTATTTGTTCATGGTCTCTGACTTTCCTATGGTGAACATACAAGCTTTTATATTAAAATGTGTGTGCTTTATTTAAAATGTAAAGATATGTATTTTGCTGTGAAGTTTCCTTGGAGAAACCAATAGAATCATGGACAAAGGGCATGAATAGGCAGTTTATAAGGAGACTCCTGGTTGACTATCTTGGATGAGGAGATGCTTGAACTCATAAGTGGTAGAAGAAATGCAGATATAATGTCATTAGGATACAATTTATACCCATTGGATTGGCCAAAAAAGTAGAAATTTGGTGAGAAAGAGAGGAAATGGAATTCTGGTTGAAGTCTAGATTGACATGACCCATTCTAGAGAGAGTCTGGAGGGTCATTTTGGAGAGCACATCTAAGTAGGTTTTTCTGTGATTAACCATCAATCCAGGTCCCAGGAATTAGGAGTTTTTAAAAACAAAACAAAACAAAATAAAACTGACTTTGTTTTATTATGGATTATTATGAACCTATTATTACTATGGACTTTATTATTATTTGTATTATGGATAGAAAAAGCAAGTAGGAGTACTACTTTTCTCAACCTAGTTCACACAAACAAAATGAATTGTTTTAATAAGAGAAAGTCATTAAAATCTTGGTAAAGGGTCACATGAACTTAGATTTTGTGATAAATGAGGAGGAAATGGCTAAAAATTGATCAGATATATGAACTTTGGGAAAACAGATTTCAAAATTTTACAGCATTAACACGGAGAACTTGTTAAAGCTTCAAGAAGCCCCCAGCTCTGGAGATACAGCAACTTAACAGAGCAGGATGTGGAAGCCACCATTTGGCCAGAAACAACGTGCTGGATTTTGTAGACAATGAACAATTTCTATGTCTTGGAAGTCAGTCATAATACCTAACTCCTATCCTAACTCAGAAAGAAAAACATTCAAAAAGATTTTGTAAACAAAAAGACCTCCTATGTTGTTAGAATCTAACCTTCCTGACCCCCATTGCAGGGCTGCAGTGTGATGGCACAGAGATGTGCAGGGCCTAATTGTGAAGGACGTGATAGCTCATGGCGTAAGTTTTAGCCTTATAAAAAGTTATCAAAAACACACGATCAGAGTTTCATTTTAGAAAAATGATTATGGAAGCTTAGAGAGAAAGAATATGTGATTAGGTGATCAATTTGTGAATGACCCAGGCCCCAAAGAAAAGCAGACGGCCTTGACCATGATGCCAGCCAAGCAGGGCATGACCAATGTTTATTTAGTGCACAAGGGACAGAATTAAGGTTGGGTATCGTGTCTAAGGAGGCCAAGAGTAGGGGGAAAATCCAGGTGGTAAAGCAGAAGCTAAAAACCTCAGGGAGTACAGGAGCCCCTCCCTCATCCTCGGGGGATATGTTCCAGGACCCCCAGTGGATGCCTGAAACCACGGACAGTACCAAACCCTATATGCGCTATGTTTTTCCCTATACATGCATACCTAGGATAAAGTTTACTTTATAAATTAGGCACAGGAAAAGATTAACAACTAATAATAGAACAATTATAACAATATACTGTAAAAAGTTATATGAATATGGTCTTTCTCTCTCAAAATATCTTACTGTACTGCACTTACTTCTTGTGATGATGTGAGATGATACACTGCCTACATCATGAGATGAAGTTAGGTGAATGACGTAGGCATTGTGACATAGTGTTGTTTTTGGACTTCACTTGACCATGGGTAAGTGAAACCGTGGAAAGGGAAACCATGGATAAGGGGGAACTGCTGTAGTGAGGATGAGGATTAGGAATATCATGTCTAGACTTGAAGATCTACTAAGGCAGTGACAGTGGAGACAGTGAGTAATAAGAATTTTTAATCACGGTGTTGTTTGTGGTATCTGAGAGCTAGAGACCACCAAAGGCTCCATCTTTCGGGAGAGGAGTAAGTAAATTGTGGTCCATGGTCACCACGGAATTCTGTGCAGCTACAGTTAGAAATAGGCGTGCCACCAGCAGCGTGGTTAGATCCGAAAAGGTCCATAGCTAGTGTTGCCAGATAAAATACAGGGTGCCCAATTAAATTTGAATTTCTGATAAACAATAAATACTTTTTTAGGATAAATATGTCCCAAATATTTGTTAAATCTGGCAACCCTAGCCAAAGCACAACACAATTTGTGAAAATGAAAGCTATGTACACAGGCAAATCAACTCAACTATTTCGTGAGAATACACGGCACACACGTTGATAGCTATGGTGTTTGTGGAGGAGGATAATGGAGATAAAGCAGAATAAAGAAAGATTACAGAATAAAGAAATAAAAGAAGAGAGGGCCTTGAATGGACGGGCAGTGATAGTTAGCTGAGTATGATTAACTCAACTCTCTGTCCCTAAGTCCAAAAAGATGTAGAAAAAAAGTTTTCCTGCACAATCCTGGAATTTCTTCCCTGAAGTCCCGATGAGACTGCCTGGCTGATAACAGAGTATTCCGTTCTACAAAACAGTCCCTATGGAATACTCTGGCACTTCCGGCAAAACTGAGTGCAGGAAAATGAGTAGGTGACAAGGGACTAAGGAGGAAAAAAAATAATGATTTTATAAACCTAGTCAAAAAGGAAGCTAATGAACAAATCAGTTAGGAACACTGCTTCATCTAGATTTACTCTTTTAACAGGTACATGCTTCCTTTCTTATAGAGTAAATATTGGTAGAAGAATATCAGTAAGCACGAATCCTGACCTGTTTCCGTAAACACAGCCAAAGAAGAGGCAGTTTCAGTTTCCCCATTGGAAAATGATAGTTCAATACATGTCACCGAGTAACTCTTACTCTTTTAAAACCTTTTTCATTTTTTAATGTTACAGCCGATTACAAGGAGAGCTTTAATACAATTGGAAACATCGAAGAGATTGCATATAATGCTGTTTCCTTCACCTGGGATGTGAATGAAGAGGCGAAGGTGAGTGCAAGAGTTGCACTGACTCCTTGCTCCTGTCTTTTAAACAATGTATCCTTTCTCTGCAGATGATTCTTTTATCAAAGCCTCTATAGATAGGGAAAGATCTGTTAAATGGAGACAGAAAAAAAGGAAGTGAACCTATTATCTTTCTCTAGAAGTCACATTCAATTATGTGCAGCTAAATTGCCTTTTGAGGGGTAAAGGAGAGAAGGGAGCGTACTTGTTCCTCTGTGGCCTCCTGCAGGATGGGCCTGGCTAAGCCACATGTCCCTGCCAAATCCTCCAGGCCCCTGAGCTCCATTTTAGCACTTGGGGCTGGCAAGACTGGGCCAGAAAACCTTTTCTCCCTGCACTGCAGGTTCTCCCAAACCCCTCTCTAACTGCCGCCTTCTTCAGAGGCAGGAAGTGTGTTCAGAGCTAACGTCTTCAGAGGCAGGTGACTGGGCATGCCTCCTGATCCCTGACTCCTTCTGGTCCAAGCTGGTGGAGGAGGGTACAGGAAGCAGGGCTGCAGGTCTCGCAACCTCACTCTCTGAGGTAGAGCCAGTGTGACCTTGAGCCATTTCTTTCGTATTGACTGTTAAGCTTTCTCTGTTTCTCTCTGGTGCCAGTACGGTTCAGAAGGGCTAGGGTAAAATCTCCCGCAAGGGTTATCCTGAGGGTAGACGTACACTGTTGCGCCGGTTTGGGTAAAAAAGTAAGATTCCCTCACACTCCGATTTGCTTTCCAGCCTGGAATCTCTTCGAGTTTATGAAAACTGCGAAGTTTTCTGCTATGCCTCTCTCCTCTCTGTGTTCGTAGCTTCTGATTCTTGATCCTTGTTTTGCACTCATGGGAAGGTTCCAGATGAAACCTAAGCTTGTTTTCTGCTTCAGTTATGTACCATCTGAGGGTGTTAGAAGACTTTGTCTTCAAACTAGTGAAAAGGTCAATGTAAACAACTCCCTTCAATGCTTTATTGTCTGTGAGCAGGGGGAAGGCTGGGTGAGAAAGGAAACTGGATGGGAGTTGTGGGCATGACTTACAGAAGAAGATGAATTGCTCAGTGTCTCACTTCACTCATGTATAAAACAATGTAAATGAAATTGGCTTTAGGCCCAAGAAAGGTGACCTAAATGGGCAAGCAGAAACAGAGTGCCAGAGCAGCCTGGAGAATGTTCCAGTGGCTCAGTGCATCTGAGGGAAGAAAGGAGGCCTTGCAATGCGATGGGAGGTCAGGTTGCACACAGAACTCTAGGGAATGTTTGTCTTCTAGAGTCCACCCGGCCTCCATTCCTAGCCCAAGCCTCGTGATTTCTCTTCATACCCCCTTCTCTCAGAGGCTAGAGTGCTGAGCTAGATAATGAAACGGCAGTCTGTGCAATGGCACGAAGAGGCCGGAGCTGGAGTCCTTAGCATGACATCTGACCTCTCTGGGCCTCGGTTCCCTCACTCAGAGCAAAACAAACTTTTCCAGTAGTCTCTGCTGTACCAAGCATGTGCTGGGGGTGTGATGTGTGAAGATCTGGCGCTCTCGGGGAGGGAGGCAGAGGAGCCAATAACCACACAGCAGTGTGAAGAGGCAGAGGCAGAGGCAGTGTCTTGGGAAGACAATGGGATCCTGTCATGGCAAGTGCCTTGTCAATGACAGCAAGATATCAGTGTGAGCTGTAATCTAGCCCTACTTTTCATTATCACGCAGTCTATGATAATGAGTGCTACTGGGTGAATGTGTTAACTGTTACATGTCAATAAGGACCTTTTAAAGAAAATGCCTAAACCAGAAGGGACAGCGCGGATGATGGACGAGGCTCTGTGGTAAACCAGTGAGGTAGTTAATTTGGGGTTGAGTTCTTTCAGCCCTGGTCGGAGATATCACTCATTTCCTACAGGTAGGAGCTCGCTTTTCTTGTTTAAATATGTTTGTGCATGTGTGTTGTTCCAGACTAACAATTTAAGCTCCCATATGCTTTAACAAATGGCAGTGTTTGCTTCTTGCAGCAAAATTTGTTTTTTTAATACACATTTTTAGTAACCATTACTTGGTTGTTGCAATTGTGTGCAGTCTGAGTTAATCAATAAGTAATAAAAAATAGTTCCAAATAATTTTCCCCAAACTATTAGAAAGGGCTTGTAAAGAAAAAGCATAGACGTTAAATCCATTTCATTAGGCTGAGAAGACTTTTTTTCAACCCGCAGATCCTAAGGTATTTCTTGAAAATATTATTGATTTTGCAATAAGCAGCCTGCAAAAAACAAAATCGCGCGCTTTGAGAAAAAGATTTTTAACAAAGCAAGAAGTAGAAGGCGTGCGTCTCACAGTGGAATTGTTTGTGATTTTCATATTGTGGACTTCTTCTCGGGAACAGTTGCATTTGCGTTTGAGTTCCTGCCGGCAACATCCACATAGAAATCTTTCATGGGCTTCAGGGCCAGGGCCCCATTCAATGTCACGTGATGTTTTTGGTTTATGAGGACACAAATTTGTGACCTACAGCCTTCATATGGTCCACAGAACGTACACATGTATATGTGTATTATACATTTATGTACTTGTATTTCATATTTTTAAATTTTTTGCTCACATTTAATAGTCAAGAGATTTTTTTTTTTTAATCTAGGTTTCCAGATTTTTTTAGATAACTAAAGATTCTGGCAACCATGAGCCTGAGTGTTTGCAAGGCCATGAGTGGCTCTTGTGAGGTGCTGGCTGTTCTCTTTAATCGTTTCTCTAGACTTCTCCCTTCTGGAACTTTCCCTGCTTGGTGCTGGTGAACATTTGAGTTTTCATGACCCAACTGCGTCCCCTCAGACAACTGAATATACATTTTACATCTTCATTGGCTTTCAGTTTTGGGGAAAGTAGTGACACAATGGAGGCTGACAGAGTATGGCTGTGAGGAGGGGGACCAGGCACCCTGCCAGCATGCCCTGGTTCCTTTGGGCAGCCCTTTGGCAGCACCCCAGAGGTTGACTTGTGTTGGCATGTTAAAGAGAGTTGCTGTGGCATCCTTTTGAACGCCCACAATGGTGGTGAATCTTGATCTTTGAAGATGTTTTAAAAAGACATCAGCAATCACTTGGGTCCAAATATAAATACATATCAACAAGTTGGATAATACCACTTCAGGGTTAAAGATGAGATTTCTTGGGGCCAGCCCAGTGGCGTAGTGGTTAAGTTCACATGCTCCGCTTCAGTGGCCCAGGGTTCGTGGGTTCAAATCCTAGGCGCAGACCAACACACTGCTTATCAAGCCACACTGTGGGGGCGTCCCGCATATAAAATAGAGGAAAATGGGCACAGGTGTTAGTTCAGGGCCAATCTTCCTCAGCAAAAGGAGGAAGAAAAAAATGAGAAAAAACAAATGAGATTTCTTTTGCACAAGACCAGCTTTGAAGAAGGCAATGTAGAAGTGACACTACAAGTACACTTTGTATCGTTTGAGAAAACCATATGTCTTCCCAAGATGATTGTGCTAAATGATAGCTTTTATTTGGATATTTAGTTTTGCTGCATTTATTTAAAAAAAAAAGCAGTCTAGGGGCCGGCCCGGTGGTGCAAGTGGTTGGGGGTGCACGCTCCACTCTGGCGGCCCGGGGTCCGCCAGTTCAGATCCCCGGTGCGCACCAATGCACCGCTTGTTAAGCCATGCTGTGGCGACGTCCCATATAAAGCAGAGGAAGATGGGCACGGATGTTAGCCCAGGGCCAGTCTTCCTCAGCAAAAAAGAGGAGGTTGGCGTCGGATGTTAGCTCAGGGCTGGTCTTCCTCACACACACAAAAAAACAGTCTAGTATTTGGTGGTCTTACCACATACGTGTAATCAAGACCCAATGATAAGGTTCATAGATTTTTCCAGAGCACATTCCTACTTGTTTCTTTTGATGTTGACCTACATTTTATTTCTACCTCTCCTTTAGCATGAACAGAAGGATGTGGAACTTTAATTGTTTAGTTTAATTTAATTATAGGAAAAAGTTTGGCTAGGGAAGGTGTTAAATCTATTAGTTAAAATAGGTTCAGGGATAAGCTCCAGATTTCCAGTCTCAATTGCAGCATGATTCTGGCAAAACTATTCCAGAGTTCTTTCACCCAGAACTGGTTTTGCTGGTTGTGCCACAGTGTCTCTCTACACAATGACATGAGCACCAGAAATAGTCTCCAACAGGACATTCTGTCCCCCTCAGGGTCTGTGCAGTCTGGAAGCTCATATAATGTAAACAGATGTCCCTAATAACTCAGGTGACATCTAGGTGGGTGAGGTTCTGAGCGTCCACACTGTCACAGCTTAGAAATTGATGGGGGATGGGGCACAGGATGATACAGAAGTAAAAGCACTGAAATGGGGTTCAAGCAACCAGGTACTAGTCCTCACACTGGAATGGCTTGCCTTGTGACTTTCCCCTTCAGAGCTTTAGTTTCGTCAGCTGGAAAATGGCAGGATGGGGGGCTGGAAGGGGTTGACAGAGTATTAAGGTCCCATCCATATGATTCAAATGGGAGGACTGTGGTGCTACATTCTTTTACGTGACTTTCATTTACAAGGTCGTTTCAATTTTTCTTTCTCCTCTTAGTCAAACACAGGTATCTACAAAGTAGATTTGTTGCTCACTAATCCCCAAGATGAGGCATTCCCACGCAATGCCCTATTGAAGTATTGAAGAGTGGTGAGCTCAGATTCCTGGCACCAAGCGCCCTTTCTCCAGGCGATGACATCACCCCCAGAGCAGGAGCACAGCAAACCCTAATTACAGGCTCCCCTTTCTCCCAGATGTCTAAGGAGATTCTTGAAACCGGGCCCCTTCTATTTGTCCAGTGCTGTTTTCTCTGTTCACAATGATTTCAGATTAAACCAACCTCGGTGTGTTACGAAGGCCTCTCTCATGTGACCACAGAGAATTACTTGAGCATTAAGATGCTACTTTGTGTTTTGAGGAACAAGTTTCTTTTTCCTGTCTTTCCCTGGAACACCATACCAATTTCCCCCTATTTCCATTCTCCCCTCCTCTCATGGGTTAT